AAATGAAAATCAATTTTATTAGATTTATATGCTGATGACAATGATAAAATTAGTGAAATTGATGATTACTTAGCTTTGGAAGAGGAGGGAAGACTGATGGATCCTTTTCAATGGTGAAACCTTAAAAAAGCACGGTTTCCTATATTATCAAAAATTGCACAGAAGAATTTGTGTGTATCAGCAACTTCAGTCTCATCTGAACAGTAATTTTCAGAAGTTGGAAACAATATTACACCAAATTGCACAAATCTTGATCTGGAATTAGTGAGTGAAATGCTATTTTTAAAGAGAAATATGGATTTATTTGATACAATATTTCCAGATAATAAATAATTAATATGCTATCTATTTGCTTTGCGACTTGTAATTTGAGATATTTGCTTTTATAAATAAAGTATATTTTTAAAATACATTTATAATAAATAAACTATTCTGAATCGAGTAATTCGAATAAAACTCGAAAAAAATAATCCGATCACATGATTCGAATATATTGAGTTTAATTCGTGAGTACGAGTTATCATGAGTCCAGTCCCTAATCGGAACCCCGTTCATTCAACATTTTTTATAAATTAACAAAATATTTAACACGCCTTTATATCTAAAATGTACCTAGATTTAAATACTGGTGATCTCAATAAGATCATCAATAATAGCTCTACAATATCCTATCACACTTATGGTTCATTTCTTAATATTACTAGTATTGCGTGTAATAGTTCTATAAATCTTAAACCATGCAATGATTATATCAGTTTGACAAATAATGATAGTCGTTGTTGGACTTTTTCACCATTTCGAGTTAAATCAAAGCAAGTGTGTAATGACGATGATTGTATAGTTAGTTCCAAAAGGTATAATCGTAATAACGATAATGCCTTAGACTATATCATTTTTAACATTACTTCAGACATATCACCTGTTAGTCCAGCTTCAGATTATTTCTCAGTTACCTTTAATTCTGTTTTCATAAAAGATAGAGACAATAATATAACTTCACGAAATATAAGTTTCAATCATCATCCATTTAATAGAGGAAAGTTTGTTATATTTGAGTTTTCCATTAGAACAAGATCGACTTACAGGTCTCGTTTTATTAAAGGATTTAGACTTAGTCCTAACGACCTAGAGGTATTTGTTGATAGCAAAATTGAAGAACTACAACAAACTGAAAATTCTTCAAATACCATTTTATTATTGAAACCAAAAATAATAACATATATAATGAGGAAGAAACTTTTGACTATACTCGTAAATACATTTCATATTGTTAATTTTTTGTAACTTATACGATTTTATTATGAGACAAAACTATTTTACTTTTTACAGCTTTATTCATTGTTTCATCCCTTGGTGGTTTTTATAGCGCTGCCATTGCGATATATGTATTTTTCTTTGGAAGTTCAAAACATTCCCCTTGGTAGGAATGTTTTTTAACAGTACAAGTATTCCACTAACAAATCAATATAATGCTCATCAATACAATTTTAATTAGGGGCATTGCACAAAAATATATGTGTTGCTGGAATATGCGCAAAAAATATGAAATGACGATGGCTCAACAATATGTTTCTAGGGCCGGAATTCCTTTTGCTGACGATCCATGTGACTTAGAAGGTGCAACTATTAACGAAAGAATCTTGGTATTAGAATCTATACTAAAAAAGTATTCTTTAGATATAGATTACTCTACTGAATTAAAATACGTAATTAATCATAGAAAAAACTATGAAAAGAGAGTGTAAAGTACCCACACATAGGACTGCTAGCGCAGTGTGGGTCTAATGCGATTAAAAAAGTTATATAGGGCTTATACTTAGGTAGAACATTTTGGTGACTATAGTCGGAGTTAACTGTATTTTTTATTATATTTATTTTATCAATTAAAAGATATAAGTTTATACTATACATTGAAAGGCTCTACCACAAAGTCACCGTTTTTCGGCATTTTTTAATGTTTCTCGCTTTGAAAGTGACATTTGTCAATCGTAAATTTAAAAATAACGTGTGTACTTTGCAATTGGTGAAAATTTATTAAACGGTAAAAAATTATTAAATAAGTAAATTTATATTTGCACATTATTCGTTATAGTTTTGCGCATAAATGTTCTATTACATAGTTTAAAGCAAAGAAAATAAAAAATTATCATCTTTACATTCATCACGTAAAACGCAATCACATTGTGAATTATTCCTTCACAAGATCACGCTTTAATGCTGCAATTTGTCTTTTGACAATGACAACAATTAGGTTGACTTGGAATGTTTTTTTCAGTCAGAAAAAATGGTTGTTTTATTTGTGTCATCCAGGGACTCTTCGAATAGTTGGTTTTAGCTATGTAAAAGTACTACTCTCAGACGATGCCTGGTGACGCAGTTTTACCTTTTTTTAGGTTTAGATTTTTTTAAAATATTTTGTTTATAGTTAATTCTGGTTCTACCACAAAATCCCGACATCCAAAATCTCGAAAACCATAATCCCGACGTGACAATTAGTATTTAATGATTAGTAATCACATTAACAATCATTGTTAGACTTTAACTTTTTAATTGTCACATCGGGTGATGCCAGTATTATGGCCTGTCGAGATTTTGGATGTCGGGATTTTGTGGTAAAACCAACACTAAATTTATTTCGAGTCAAATAAAAGTTATTCCGAGTCAAATAAAAGTTATCTCATTAATATATCATATTTCGACACTCCCAATTCTTCCCATCTAATCTCTAAAAATCAAATTCGAACATGCAAATAACCCTATCTCAAGAGTATGTTCCTAAAATCTTTATTATTTGTTCTACATGTGTTCTAATTTTTTTCTGTTTTTAGGAACAATTATTCTGCTGACAATTCTACTGACAATTCACATGATTTCGAGTCGATAAAGAATAATGATAATACAACACTTTATTCAAATGACTTTTTTGATCAACCTACAATGTTACCTACAATGTTAAATCAGCAAATTTCCAATCATGCAACTACTTCAACTTCTTTTGATTATGCTACTTTGAATTTTCAAAAAAATATGTTAAAGTGTTTACGTACAAATTGTACAAACTTACGTTACATAGAAAATGGAAAGGTACACGATTTTTGTGGACGGACTTGTGCGAACTTGATTCCTCGGTAAGTAATGTTTGACAAGGAAACACTGTTTTTTGTTCGCACGTACGTACGTACGCTCATACTTATCGGTTATGTACGTAAACACTTACGTACGTACGTATGTACCTAAATACAATTTGTGTAAATAGATGTGCTCATCCAAATTGTTTTAACCGTTGTTATGTTGAACATAATGGAAAAGTTCATCAATACTGCGGAAGGACATGTGCTTACAAATGTATTGCACTTGGAATCTGACAATAACGATTACCATCGTAGTGTAACAAATATAGTATGTATTGTCTTATTCAAGATTAATTGTATGCGTGAATTTAAAATAGGCCTTCCGTTTTTTCTTTAAGGTATCTTGCTTTTAGAAACCTGATGTTAAGCCTCATTTTTATCTTGTCTGAATCAATTCAGTTCTGCTATTAAAAATGAATTTTTGCATACGTATGCACAACATACCAACGTTAGGGTTATGGTTTTCATCTTGAGTTTTAGTACAAACGGGAATGCAAACTTAACTATTTACATATTCGGGGGACGTCTAAAGCGGAGCAGATTCTTATAATATATATTTTATTGAATTAACATTAGGGTTAGGGTCATCTTATA